TGTTATTCTCCCATATTTAAACAGGAAGGAGATTTTTAAACCCACCCACAGAGGGCTCAGGGGCAAGAGGCCACTGGGGAGAAGAGGACGTTGCAATTGGGAAGAACATGTGTTTGTATTTCTTTGTGAAGGGATGTACACACGCACACACGCACATAGAGGGTCCCTTCTCCCCCTTCCTTTTTCCTGCCTGAACTGTGCATGCCTAACACAAGTTCCCATCTTCCCCCTCCCTGACCTATAGTTCCAGTTGCATTTAGAGCCCAAGCGTCTACTGTTGAAAAGTGACTTCATGCTGAATTTGGGTGCTACATGGCCTTCTCTAGGTCTCACGCAGCAAGGCTTGGCCATCCCTTTCTTTCGCTGGTTTTCCCACACTTTCTGCCGCTCATTGTGTGCCTGCTGCTTTTTCTATCTGCCTATTCAGTTCAAATTAGTCACGAGCGGCCCCCAGCTTAGAGAGGAAAAATAAATTAGGTAGTGTTTTAAACACAGTTTGATTAGAATTATTCCCCCCTCCCCTTCACACACACTTTGCTGAAGACGGGGGAATGCACACTCTTTAAAAGATAGGATCTCCCTAAAACAACCCCGCTGCACAAGAGTAGGGCACAAGGCAGAGGATAAAAACCTTGAGGGTAGTTATCTCTTGGAGTACAGATGGCAGGTGCACATCTGTATAAGTGGCTAGGTAAGGAACGGGGATGGGGAATAGGATTTATTACACGGCAGAGATAATTCATAAGCAATGTATCCTAGAAACATTTTTCTTTTAAACATGGTAATGAGGATTTGGGCAAAATATAGATTTATCTACAAGAGCACAGGCATCCAGTCTAAAAATAATTTGATGATAAATTTTTCTGAGCCTATCCACACATGCCTGTACTTTCTGGAGGCAGCCTAATCTAGACTGCTCTCCATCTAGTCTGTTTACACTTTATATATTATAAAATATACCGGATATTCTGTTCTCTCCAATTAAAAAAAAATCAACAAACTGATAGTTAAATCTCTTGTTATAAAATGATCATTTGGGTAGTCACAGGCAGAAACAAGATAATATCTCAGTTCCCTGTGACAAAACAAGGGAAAAGCTTTCTGCTGCCTTCAGTGATTTAGAAGCAGACTACTTGGATCAATATACTGAGTAGGGATACATACAGTAAAACAAATAGCAAAACAATTACCGTATTTTTCGCACCATAAGACGCACTTTTTCCCCACAAAACAGGGGGGTGGAAAGTCTGTGCATCTTATGGAGCGAAGAAAACAGATTATATTTTCCTGTTTTCTTCTCCTAAAAAATTGCTGCGTCTTATGGAAAGGTGCGTCTTATGGAGCGAAAAATACAGTACATTTTACTTGTAGAATGCAGGCTTTATCCTACCAGATACAAGTATAGAACACTAAGACATAAAATCCAGTCATTAGTCCCATCAAGTGCCAAACCACAGAATCAACAATATGCATTTAAATGCTGACTTATTATTTAGCAATTGGTAAAGGGTCCCTCTCTAGTTCTATTTCAGAATGAAATGGCTCTGTAGCTAGGAAGCCCCAGGAAGTAACCTTTTTCATTTAACTTCTGTTATGTCCCAAGACAAATGATTTGGAGATCCATACTCAAAAATATTTAGTGTGAATAATTACTACAGTGGACCCTCGACTTACAGACGGCTCGACTTACAGACTTTTCGAGTTACAGACTTCTCTGGCCACAAAATTTAGATTCGACTTGCAGCCGGAGAATCGACTTACAGACCAGAAAAAAACCAAAATGGAACAAAAATAGAATAAAAACTGCCAGTTATGGGATTAAGCGGTTTTCAATGCATTCTAGGTCAATGGAGATTCGACCTACAGACTTTTCGACTTGCAGCCACCGTTCCAATACGGATTAATTCCGTAAGCAGAGGGTCCACTGTATTCAGCTCACCTGATGAGAATGGATACCCTCCATTACTGAAACATGTCTGGCTGAAAAGGAAATTCTAACATCCTAGGTTTTTGATACCTGAAAAATTGGGACAAAGGAAAACAGAAACTACAGGTTTTGTAATAAATTAAATGAAGTCTAATATTCAGAAAGAGTAAGTCTTGCTTCTGCTGTGACTGCCTCCGCCAAGCTAGGAAAAATTATCACCAGAAGTCAAGCAGCAATGAAGGCCCATGTATGTTCCTCACAGGATTATGGTATCTATTTGGCATAGAAATACATGTAGGATTTGAAGGTTGTATATTTTCAGTTTCCTGGAGGTACTGACAGATTTCACTTTCTTGGGCTCCACGATCACTGCAGATGGTGACAGCAGCCATGCAATTAAAAGACACTTGTTTCTTGGTAGGAAAGCAATGACAAACCTAGACAAAATCTTAAAAAGCAGAGATGTCACCTTGCCGACAAAGGTCCGCATAGTCAAAGCTATGGTTTTTCCAGTAGTGACATATGGAAATGAGAGCTGGACCATAAAGAATGCTGACCGCCAAATAATGGATGCTTTTGAATTGTGGTGCTGGAGGAGCCTCTTGAGAGTCCCCTGGACTGCAAGGAGAACAAACCTATCCATTCTGAAGGAAATCAACCCTGATTGCTCACAGGAAGAACAGATCCTGAAGCTGAGGCTCCAATACTTTGGCCATCTCATGAGAAGACTCCCTGGAAAAGACCCTGATGTTGGGAAAGAGTGAAGGCAAGAGGAGAAGGGGACGACAATGAGATGGCTGGACAGTGTCATCGAGGCTACCAACATGAATTTGACCAAACTCCGGGAGGCAGTAGAAGACAGGAGGGCCTGTCCATGGGGTCACAAAGAGTTGGACACAACGACTAAACAACAATATTTTCAGAGGATGTAATGGAATCACTATCCTCCAATTATGTAGACTCTCTTATATACAAATGTCAAACTATGCAGTTCCTGGCATTTTGAAACCCATTTCACCTGTACCAAAAGTAAAAATATTTCCTTGGTATTGTTCTCACTTGACATCAAGTCACTTCCAACTTAATAGTAATCACATGAATGAGTGATTGCTAAATGTCTCATCCTCAACAGCCTTGTTCAGTTCTTGTAAACTCAAGTCTGTGACTTTTGTTAAGGAGTCAATCCATCTCATATTCTGTGTACCTTTTTTCCTGCTGCCTTCACACTTTGCTAGCGTTATTGCTTTTTTCTAGAGGATCCTGTCTTCTCACTATGTGCCGATAGTAGGACAGCCTCAGTTTCATTATTTTCACCTCCAGAGATTGTTCAGGTTTGATTTGATCTAGTACCCATTTGTTCATCTTTCTGGAAGTCCAGGGTACCCACAAAGCTTTCCTCCAGCACCACATATCAAATGGATCAATTTTTTTCTCGTCAGCTTTCTTTACTGCCCAGCTTTCACACACGTACATTAGGAATACACAGCTGTGGATAGTCTTGGTATTGGTCTCAAGTGAAACATCCTTACACATGATCTTTTCTAATTCCTTCATGGCTGCCCTTCCAAGTCTCAGTCTTCTTCTGATTTCTTGGCTGCAGTTTCCATTTGGACTGATGGCTGAACCAAGGTATACAAAATCATTAACAAATTCAGTTCCTTCACTGTCAAAATTAATGTGTACTGTAGTTCTTCTGTGGTCATGATTTTGTTGTCTTAATTTAATAAAAAAATTAATAAAAAATTTCCTCATATTCCCTCAAGTTCTTTTTTAGTGAATGTTTCTGAGCCTTAAAATTTGATACATATTTTGAGGAGAATAAATTAAGTTACTTTGATTGCTATAATACTTTTTCCAGAAAATCAGCATTCATGCAACTCTCTCTGCCCCTTATACTTTGATACAAGTTTGATAATACCAACAATTAACATATATGAAAAAAATTCCATATTTAATAAAATATACTGTGGTATTTAATGCAACTCTTCAAAATTAAGGGATGAAATCCTATTGCATAGCATAGCAAATCTTACTAAAATAGGCCTATTGAATCATTTGGGATCTATATCTGTGAAGATTCTCAGTCATCCAAGTGAGGTTATCTGGAAGTTGAGTCATGGCAACTGTACCACTTTCTTATTAGGTTGAAATGTTTCACTACTCATCCAAGTAGCTTCTTCAGTCTGAGGAGAGTTGGTAGGAGATCCCTGATATATCTGGGATCTAGTGATTCAACTTCTCCATAAATTCCATTGATTCACATAGGCCTATTCTAGTTGTGACTTACTTTACCATAGTAAATTACAACTAGATTAGGCCTATTTGAATCAACTGAATTAAAGTAGGAGTAGACTCACTAAGCAACATAATTTCAGCCAGGTTTGCAATTTTCTAAAGCATCCAAACATCTTCCTGACAAGTCAAATGAACTGGAACAAGTTCAGAGGAGGGCAACAAGCATTATCAGAAAACTGGACATCAAGCCCTATGAGGAAAAAGTGAAAGAACTGGGCCTGCTTAGACTTGAGAAAAGAAGACTGATGGGAGATATGACAGCACTTTTCAAACACTCTCATCCCACAGTGCAGGACACATAATAGTGGTTTCAAATTACAGGAAGCCAGATTTCAGATGAATATCAGGGAAAACTACCTAACTGTTAGAGCAGTTACGTTCTGGTCCACCAAAAATTCAAATAACATGCACTGCCTTGAAGAAGCAGTTTTATTATGAAAACAAGAATAAAATCTAGTTTTGATTTCAACATGCCCCATAAAACAATTTAATGCAAGCAAACTGCTCAAAGTTGTTTAGCAAAAAAACAAACACAATACAAAATTCAATATATAAAATAAAAGGAAAATACGTTAGAATATACAGTACATTTTGAAACCTTAAGGGTGGTTCAACTGATACCACATAACCACAGGATTTGGTAGCAAATACAGTACATCCTTGAATACTACTTAGACATTATGTAATTAATGAAGAGCAGGAGCACAATGACAGCCTGATTAATTAAGAATAGAGAATTTTTAAGGAATCCAGTAGAAAATGAAGAAGACTCAGCTAATCATTTTTCTACATGTTCTTTAATCTGCACTGCACATAAGAGGAAGAAGTTGTGTAAGGGACATCAGAAAAAACCACTAATCATTCAGGGAATGTCTAAGGTAAAAAAAAAAATTAAAAATCCAAAGATGTCCAAGTGGACTAACATTTAAACCACCAGTCAATAACAATATATAAAATCTGTGACAGACAAGAAAGGGTCTGTAATATTAGCTAAATGACATTTGGGCTATATGAAGAAAATATCTTCATACAGGTTTAAAAAAAGATGGAATCACATTGATGAAGATGTTGAGCTCTCAGCTGCATTTTACTCAGATAGCAAGCATGAACAATTTGTTTGCAGGAAAAGTAAATGCAACAACACGATGGGAGAAAGGGTTTTCTCCAACTCATTATGTTTAATAAACTGCAGCACTGCAAATGGAAATATCACTTTTCAGGATACATTCAATTTAGGGAGAAACATGAAATGATTAAAAGTTGAACATGAATATTGTATTTACAATGAATAATTCCATTGTTTTAAATCTCTGTTGATACTATCTTCAAAGGGAAAGAAAATTTGGTCAAGAAAATATGAAGCCTCATGGAAACGATCTAGAGATATCATTACTAACAAGGTGTCTCTGAGGGACTGTGTAGTGTTGGTTGTTAAATCCATGACTACCTGACTTCTTTCACTTTGGGATATTTCAAACTGCAGCCAATCAGTGTCTGACACAATTAAAACTATTCTATGGACCAACGGTGTCCTTCAAAATGTGTAACAGCTGCACAAGATATAAAAAGGAAAAAATATCTTAACTGATGATTATATATGATGCATCCAGGTACATGGTAGATCGAATGTCTCATGACTTTATAAGACCCAGTGTTAGTAAGATTGTAATTGAACCCAATGAGAGAAAAAGTTAAACTATGAGTATAAAAATGACATCAGATTAAATCAACTGAGACAGACTATGTTTATGACTTACAGCATTTTGCTCATGGATGGGGACAGAAAAGGAAGGCCATTTCCTAACCATGGGCAATGAAAACACTGAAGTGAGCAGACAACGAACGCCTAAGTTAAAACCAAGGGAAATTAAGACAATTAATGATTTAGTTATTACAGATTTCAACTGGGGCTGGGACTGACTAATGGGATGAAAGTATTCATAGTGCTCCTAATAAGTATTTCTATTTTGTGCAGCTATTTAAACTTACACAGAGAAGCAAGCTGGAGGAGTAATTTAAATGTAAGTGACTGATATGACATTCTGCCAGTGAATTCAAACTGTTTACATTACACAATCAAAAGAATTCTGCACCCAATATTTTAAAATGTATTTCAAGTCCAAGAGAGGCAGGGAACACAACTGAATAGTTAGCTTTAAAATGCAAAGGCAAGTTTTGTGTGAGGAAAAAAACTATATCCTGCATTAAGTATGAAGAACAAAAATGTGTAAAAGATACACCCAACCAGGCAAAGGCTAAGAGGAAGATCTTCAGACAATGCCAAAACGTTCTGCTCTTTTTCTCTTCTTTGCCTGCAAACAGGAATTAAAAGAAAGGTTAAAAAAAGGGGAAGGTTGTGCAGAATTGCAACTCTGAGCATGTGTTCTGTCACAAAAGAAGGTAGAAAGTCTATGAAGAATGCCATGGTGTTAGTTTAAGAAAGCATTTTTCATATCAAATTTTACAAGGGGCATGACTGTTGCAGCAAGGCTTCCATCTAGAGTCAGAAATTAAGCTGTAAAAGCATGAGATACAGTGGCCTGGTGGTTGCTTCATCTTGCTGGCTTATATAAGAAGGCTATGCTTGGAACAATGACCACTTTAGAGGCCTGGAAAGCCTTCCAGGCAATAGGGAGGTGGGAAATGTAAAAGGCCAAAGGGTTAACACTCTTCTATTCATGGGGAAGGCGAGAGGGTCACAGTCAAATGCATTAAATATACCCATGCGTCTCTGAGATATGCCTCTAAGTCAATACACCAGGGGCATATAAATCTTAATTTTTACCAGGATAAATAGCCTGGGGGTAGCAGAAGTCCTAATCAAGAATCTCCAGGGGAAAGGTGCCATTTAGCATACAGAATAAGAGAAAAAGACCTTTTTGTTTTAGGCACACTCTCTAAGTGACCTAACGGAAAAGCATGGAATCCCTCAGACCAGAGCTCAGCCACCCCCTTCATTCAAAATGAACAGGGGGATCATTCTACTTCATTTTGTAGAGCAATGCTTGCACAGCATCTGGCAGAAACAAAAGGCACCAAACCATATCTGAACTCCATATAAGATGCCAAAGAAAATAAACTTCCTGTATATAATACTCAGGGATTTATCAAAAGAAGGTTCAGAGACCCCTACATTACCTCCATTGCACAAGCAAAACAAGCCCACAGCAAGAAGACCTTCTGTGATAGGGACTATAGCTTAATACCAACTACAATAAGCATGAATATGGATTTATAGAAACAAAAGAATTGGCATACTAAAATAAATGGATCTCATTCAAGTCAGACAAATAATTTTAAAAAGAGGAATCAGCAGACCCCTAAAATGACAGTTCTATGCCACAAGGAAATTACAAGATGAGACAGAGAACTGGTATATGTGCATGATAAAAATAATAAAATACCCTGGGAAAAAAGATCACCAAACATTCAGTATGAAAGAAATTAACTTTAGATTTCACCCATCCAATTTTATAACACTTTCAAGGGGTTGTGTGAGCTCATAAAGTAACTTGCATCATACCACAAAGTGTAAAGAAGAAACTAGAGCTGGGTTTTATAAGCTGAAATTACTGTCAAGGTAATTACTTTATTTTCTCCATTGCTGCCATTAATTTCAACAGGCAAATTTTCAGTAGTCCTGGAAGAGGCAGTCAAAGAATGTTCTGTGCATCCAGAGTGGCACTCATTTTCACACACACACACCCAATTAAATTAAAAGTCATGGTGTAAGCTCTGTAAAGGACAGAAAGATAGGTTTGGCTCCTCTGACCCAAACACAAGTTTCAGCTCAGTTACGTAGGTATTTCTGAGTTAATCTGCTGAAGGAAATATTTGAGGTACTATACAAGGTCCAAGGACTGTTTAGCACAATCTTCTTGAACCCTGTACACCTTCCATATGTTCTGAACTACAACTCCCAGTCTGTGACCACTGTTCATGCTGTCTGGGAACTTTAGTCCAAAAAATCTGGAGGACACCAGTTTCAAGAAGGTTGGTTTGGTAGGATCATAGATGTGAGGGCGCATAAACGGATAAAGGATACACAGTGCCATCTTGTGGAGTGTTTAGCATGATTTCAATGAATCACAGAAAGTGTTATCAGTTCCTGCCCATGGACCAGAACAAATTGCTTTTATCTTTGTTTTGACAGGTTACCTCTGTGTCTTCTGTTGTTCCTGTCCCAGCTGAACTTGTTACAATACCAAACCTCTCCTTTCTCTTTTTCAGCTTCTCATCATCTTCATTCTACACAAAAATAAGGAAGAAGATGTTTAGCCAGCTTTTTAAGCTAAAATTATAATTTCTGATAAATTCTTTCTTTATTGGCCTATGCCACACAAAACAGTTTGCTGGAAAACATAAACATATTTGCACTTGGACATCACCTTTCTGAACTGTTATGCTATCCATTGGGTTGAAAGCATTTTTTAAATGGGTGGTATATAAACCAATGATGTTATGAAGGAAAAGGTCCCCAGTCTCTGAACAAGATAGGACCATTTATTTCAATCTTTTCTCTCTCTCATCTGCCTTTTGCAATTGTCCTTGTGTGACATAATCCTTCCCTATGTAGAACACAACTGAGAATAGTGATGGAAATAATTTTACAGGGGGCACTTACTCCCATTTTGTTTGCTCATCATTTCTGCCTCTTTCTTCTCTCCCACTGCTCATCACCTTACTTCTATTGTTCTGCACTACCTAGTATGCCAGTCTTGGTCATTAATAATTAGCAGTGGCGGCTAAATAACTTCAAATGGCTTTTCTCCTGGGAAGAAACCTGGGGTAATACCAACACCCCTTTAAAATAAGAAACAGTGGAACAGTGCAGCTAGCAGATATTGTACTCTGTTAGAAGAAGCAGTATAACCATTTTTTCCTAGTCTAAAAGGCCAAAACTAATAGTCAGATCCCTAAAAAACTTAATAAAGGTGACAGCAGTACTTGTTACATAATAAGAGCCACAATATTAGATAAAACCTTTTTCTTATCTCTACAATTTGAAAGCTCTTTTCCTACATCTTGTTCAGAATAATGTGCAGAAAAAAGAGAATCTGCTTTGCAAGAGAACAAAGTATTTTGCAATCTGTTCTAAATGTCAGGACAACCCAACATAAGATTTAAGGCTGTTCCCAAACAGTTCTATAAAGTATATACAGTTCTATAAAGTATTGTGTCAGTGTGAACACAAGAGACTCTGTGCAAGGCACCCTACTTTATACTACAGCTGTCAAACCTACAGTTCAATGCATTCCAATGGGGGGGGGGGGAATTCACCAAAAATTAACGAAGAGTCAGAACAAAGCCAAATTAAGTTTGCAAAGGTTTTACAAGGTGCACTAACGATCCCAAGCATTTAGAACAGTTTTTGAACATTTTAAGACACTTTTAAAATAGCGAAAACGGACCTGTCAAAACCATTGAAATGCATTGAATAGGCTTCAATGCATTCCAATGGGGGAAACATTGTTTCGCTTAGCGATGTTTCCTATGGCGATTTTCGCTTAAGGACGGTAATCTGTTCCCATTGGAATGGATTATCCGGTTTTCAATGCATTCCTATGGGAAATGGTGTTTCGCTTAGCGATGTTTTCCCATAGCAATGTTTTTTTGGGAACCAATTAACATCGTTAAGCGAGGCACCACTGCACACTGTACAAGACCTAAGAAATAGCACTTCTCAGTGTTGGGAAGTATACCTTCTTCACCAATTTATTCTCCCATTTCTTAAAAAGCCGATTCTGTTTAACTTACATTGGTTACCAGTTGCTGCCTGGGCCCAATTCAAAGTGCTTGTTTTGACATATAAAGCCCTAAATGGCTTGGGCCCTGGATACTTGAAGGACCGCCTCCTTCCATATGAACCTACCCGGCAGTTAAGATCTAGCCAGGGGGCACTTTTGAAAGAGCCATCCCTCAAGGAGGTAAGAGGGATGGCTTGTAGACAAAGGGCCTTCTCGGCAGCTGCCCCCAGACTATGGAACGCCCTCCCAACTGAAATTCGTCTGGCGACGACGTTGATGACATTTCGGCGCCAGGTCAAAACCTTCCTGTTCCAGAAGGCTTTTAATTGAAATAACATCAACTGTGGGTCCTGATGATGGCAATTTTAATTGTATTTTAATTGTATTTTAATCATTTTATTTTTATTGTATTGAATTTTAATTATTGTAAGCCGCCCAGAGACCTCTTGGTAGAGTGGGCGGCATATAAATTCAATAAATAAATAAATAAATAAATTTTATATTTTATCAATTGCTTCAGTTTTAAACAAAGCTGTTTATTCATTAAGCTGACCAGAATGGTACTAATATATAAATAATATTAATAAATTTTGTGTTTAGTACTTTGCAGATACTTTGAGTCTGTTTGGTTTTTCCATAAGCTTGAGGCTTTTTACTTTCTTAACCTTTAGCCATGCTCAGTCTCCAATAATAATCAAGACCATCATTATCCTTTAAAAGCTCCACTGCACCCATTTGCCATTGAAGTTCTCTTGCATTATTTTCAGCTTCAAAAGATTGTCCAATTACCTTGCTCTACTCCTGTAATTCTTCTCACCTGCTTATGCAATGCATTTACAATCACTACTATCTTGCCTATTTGACCTACTGTATTTGGTTTTTCCAACAATGTTGGCCACAAGAGCCCTAAAGTAATGATAGCCTTTCACAATAATCATGTTGAGGATGTGAGAGTCAGTGGAATAATGAAAACAGGCAATGAGATAAGTTAAAACCTTTAACTATATTTGATGGCCTCTGTGAATTTCTACTTGAATGCATAGCTTCCCAGGTCCATTAACCACTCTGATAAAATGCACCTTTGAACCCTGCCATCAGCCAGGTCACATTAAATGTATGAAAATCCAAGATGACACTCCTTCTATGATTGCATAAAGAATTCTTTCCTTCACATTCCATTTGTACAATAACTTCTAGTGAGGATTGCTGAGGTTTGATTAATTGATATTAATCAGTCAAAGAATAACATGCAGTTCTGCTTTTTAAAACAAACCCCCATTAATTTACAATGCAAGGCCAATGACATCATTGGTGCAGCAGGCAATTTTTATTGCAGAAGTTGTGTTCAACACCTCCTCAGCAAGTGGTAGGACTGCCTTCATTATGTCAATCACTTACATAAATGACACCATAGCAACCAGGCTGAGCTTTATTAATTATGACATCTTCATCTGTTGTGGCAACAGGAATAATTGAAATGTTTAATTAAAAATGCTGCAATTTCTCAGGGGCTTCTGAAAACAGAAGCTGTTGTTATTGAAACAGCATGCATATAATATTTTGTGCATGTATAACACTTAGTAAGCATTACTGCCAAACCCTATGGGTCTACCATTTCTTTTGCCTCAGGATATTTTTCATACTGAATTTTCTAGTCCAATGCACCAACAAGGTTTCCTTTTTCAGACAATAAATATATGTTATTATAGGTATTACTAATTTTTCATATTAAATACGAATATATGTTTTTTGCAAATATAACATGGGAGTACCCCTAGCACCATGGAGTATCTATAATAGTCAGCAATTAGATGAAGAAATAATGATTCACGCCCTTTGTTTCTTAAGTCCTGTAGGCTTAACCTCAACCTCACAGATGATTTCAGGCTACAAAATGGCTGTCAGTCTTGGAACATAACAAAGTAACATTGAGAAGTCCAGATAGTAAATGTTTGGTCTAGCTATACAAATCTGGATAACCATAGCTATTAAGATGTGGCATAGAGTGAACATAAATTCTGATTTCATTTCTACCTCACTGAATGTTATATGGAGACACAACATCCTGAAAATGTAGGGCTATTTGGATCAGGAAGATCTGCAGTTTTACATTTAAGATGAGAGGCTTTGTTTTTAAAACTCATATTAACACTGATGGCTGGACTTGTTTACCAAGGTAAAACAGAATGCTAACTTTTTTAGAACAGCTGTTCTAACGCTTAAATATTTAAAATGCACTATTATCTAAGTAGACTGGAGAATCGATACTATACATGTTTCATAGTTTTCACAGTCATCCCATATACAAAAGCTTCTTACCACGTTTCCCCCAAAATAAGACAGGGTCTTATATTAATTTTTGCTCCAAAAAACACATTAGGGCTTATTTTCAGGGGATGTTTTATTTTACAGTCATGTCATCTTCTTTTGGTTGCTGCACAATGGTGGAGGGTGGGTTTCACTTAACTAGGGCTTTTTTGGGGGTAGGGCTTATATTATGAGCATCATGAAAAATCATATCAGGGCTTATTTTCACGTTAGGTCTTATTTTCGGGGAGACAGGGTAATGATATTTTGCTGTTTTATTTTTTTTCCTCCTTTTATATAGTAACCAATGAAGTAAAGAAAACTATAACCTCATACAAATAAAATCAAAATAAAAAATGCTAAGTATAAGATAATGTTAAGAAAAAACAAAAATAACATGACTAGGAAGAACAAAGATACACCTCACTTAGTGGCATTCTTGAGGGAAGTTTTACATGACATGTTAATGTGTCTACAGCAATGTGAATATCCTTTTTGCTATGACTATAGTAATTGTGAAAGCAGTATATAGTGACCTCCTTACATATGTGTACACACAGCCATTCAAATGTCACATTTCTTATATGGTAAGATTAATACGAATATGAAACAATCTACAAACACTAAAACAGTTTTAAGACTTTTTAAGACTTAATTCTATACCTTCTTACTTGCCAGCTAAAATAGTATGGAAGAATTGCATAAGGCAAAGAAAGCTAAAATCCACAACATATAATTTAAACATATTCCAATATAGCATGAAAAAATTTATTAGAATGCTGATGGTAATCAATTCTGTATCTTTATAGCCAAAGAGGAATTTCAGGAAAACCAACAAAAACTTTAAATGTATGAACGGATGTTGTTGGGCATGTAAGAGACTGAAGTGAACTGAGGTTTTTATTTATTTTTGTAGTAACCCACTATAATCACCGGACCCCCACTCACTGCCTAAAGGGAAAGTGTGTAACAATCCCACTAAATCAACACTGTTCTAATGATCTCGCTCACTTGACCCCCTAGCACACCAGTGTCAGATGCAAACACGCTTACAATAAACTTCACTCCATCTTTAGCTCCTCACTGACAGGTTTTGATTCATGGGGTGCTGAAACCCATCTGAGGAAAATTACCTCTATCAAAACACTGCTATCTCAGCATCTATCAAGCTCTGCTAGAGCCCTGGGGCATGCT